AGCCAACGGTCAAGAAATTTTGCAACAAACAAATGCAAAATGTGATCTGGCAGGTGCAGCAGTTCTGAACGATGAACAGAGAATTTGTTTTGTCTGTACTTAGACCTATAATGTATTATTACACCTGTGAGTTTTTTCCTTTCTGATCATGAGCAGAAAATAGCCACTACCGATAATATGTTTGCTATGAGTCACTGGCACTACGCTGGCATTTTTTCAGACTGTATCTCCAAAGCAAGTATTATATTATATTATTCTAAATACCTATCATGCAAATCAGCAATTACCCCCGATAATTCCATTCCAAGACAATTCAATCTTTTACTTTATATAACACGTGAAATTATTCTTTTATTAGTCAAAATTGTGTTCATTGTTTTGTTTTTTTAAATTTGAATTTTTAGACAAAATTTCAGACTTTTCTGTATTTCTAATAAATGAATAATAACCTAAGTTAATCATTCAACATTCTCCAATGCATTGATTTGCATATTTATTGTGCAAAATTGTAAATTTTTATTTCCTGGAATATTTTTTTGAAAATTCTTCAAATTGGTATACAGCATCACAATCTTTTGTATAAACTCGATATTTTCAATTAATCAGTGTATGACTCAGTAGTCACACTTTACACAATTATATGCATTTCACCATATTATTATGTTGCTGTTCAATTACATTACTGGTTAACAAAGCCTAACAAAATTGAATTAGGCCATGTCCAATGATTGAGATCACTTCTTAATAACAATGTAACAATATACATTTTTTTTAGCAGTTTTTGTTTTCTGAAATATATACAGCAATACTAAAAATATTATTTGCATAGATATTCACCACATTTTGAATTCTTTGGAGGAAACAATACATTCAGTGGTTACCGGTAACTGCAGATTCACTGGGATTTAATTTAGCACAATTGGCTATGCTCAAACTAAGCAAAAATATACTACTGTTTTTTTTTTATAGAACAAATACATTTGTAGTACCATTTTTATTTGAAAAATCACCCTGGGTGTTTTGGATAATAGAACATGTTTTGGCTTTTTTCTTAACAAGTTAGATTTTTGTACTTGAATGGCAAAAAATCTTAATTAAGAATGATAAAATGTACTTTAATAATTCATGGTGTTCAAAAAACGATTTAAATTAGTATCCTTATAATTTGCTTTTAAACTTTTCATGCAAAATATAGCACAGAAAGCATTATTGTCAAGTTAATTTTTGCAAAAAAAATGTGACATCCCGAGATGTATGTGTCAGCTTACTTGTACATCCCTGTGATCCCTACTGGGGATTGCAACACGACAATTTCAATGAAACGTGAACTTCAGTCATTTTCTCAGTCAATTAGAAAACATTGCTTGAATGACTGTACTTTGGCGCCATGTTGTTGAAGGTTGAAAATTCATCATTACCATATATGGATGCCATTAGTGACCAAAATGAAATTAACAATGAACTTGCTTTATATATTTTGACCCCCTGAATTATGTTTTAAACTCCAAGATGAGATAGTATATGTAAAAACCTCTGTGATATATGAACATAAAGCAGTTTTAGTCCACTTACATGTATATGGAATTCTTTGTTTGTCTACACAGGTGAACAAGTCTTTTATATGGAATACTCTTACCAACTATAATACATGTTCTACCAAATTAAATAAAACACTACTTTATCTTCACAAGAATTAATTCCACCTACAATAACAATTTGGTTTATTATATAAAATTGGTACAAATGTAATTTTTTCAGAAATTGCTAGTTATTGGAGATGCTCAAAAATCCAAAATTTATGCCATTAGACGTAAGGGAGGAGATGGAAAATAAAAAAAAAAAATCCACATAGAAAATTGTGAAAACAAATTATAATTATAACAATATTTATAAAAATATTAGTAATTAAAAGATCTTTTTAAAACAATACTATCTTGCTCAATATAACAGAAAGAATTTTTTTT